ACCGCCAGTCTCCCCTGATCAGCCCCGCTTCCCCCAACCCCCTCCCAGCTAGCCCTGTTCCCCGCCGGTCGGTTCCCCCTCCCTCCGATCTCCCCCAGCCAGCCCCACTCCCCTCCCAGCCAGTCCCTTCTCCCCACCCCCCATCCCAAGTGTGTCTGGTATTTTTTCTGAAGCTACTTGGTAACCCTAAGCAGAAGGGCAGACACCTTGTAACATCTTAAGCATGGCTTAACCAACTGACGTCTTTATTTCCATCTCCCCACCGCTGTCCCTTTGCAGTCCCCCGAGTCCTGCTCGCTCTTGAGTCCCCCTTTTCCGCTATCGTCGCATCCGCCAGTGCCTCCCGGTAGCCCCAGGTAATGGGGGGAAGCGGGGTCTGGGTCCGCCCTCACTCATGGACCCCAGCCCAGGACCCTAAGGACGCAGACCCACTTGGGTCCGGTCCAGCTGACGGGGCTTCCCGCCGTAACGCGCCAGCCTGTGGGCAGCTGAGAGCCCTGCCCTGGGCTGCTTCCTTCCCTCCCTTACCTAATCTGGTCTTTCCCCGGCGTCCCGGCCGCTTGCCACGTCCCCACATGGACCTGTCGGTCGGCTTGTTCCCCGCACTGTTCCTCCTCTCTCGAGACGCCGTGGGTCCTTTCCTCAGCCTTTGGCGCTGGATGTTGCGTCACACCTCTCCCTCCCCTCTGGAGACGCTAGGAGCCCTTTTTAAGCCTTGGCGCTGGGGTGTTACGTCACACCCCGTTGCCCTCCTCTGGCTCCTCCCTCTCCCCTCCGTATTGCCTCGGAGCACACCGCGCAAGCCTTTTGCAGCTGCTCGGGACCCTGCCCTTGGCCTGCGCCGGGAGGTAGGAGGAGTGCGGGCACCGATCTACGCTCCGGGCTGCCCGGGGTCGCGCAGCGCCGGCTCCTTCCCTGCCGCCCCGCGCCCTGTACAGGACCATGGCGGGCGGCTGTTCAGTGCGGGGCAGCCGTGCCCCGTCACACACCTGCAGAAGAGACACCAGAACCAGAAGAGAGAGGCAGGGAAGTGTTAGGAGAGGGGATGAGGAGGGGTAGCTCACATGATCAGAGTGGGGCTACTGGAGGAGTCGGCACAGGGGGGAGAGAAGAGCTGCTGCCGGGATGCAGGTCTCAGGAGGGCTGAGGGGAGTGAGAAGGGCAGGAGTCAGGAAAGCTGAGGAAGGTGAGGGGTTAGGGGGAAGCAGGCACCAGGGGAGATGATGGAGCAAGGAGAGGAGACATGGCAGCAGAGGGAAAAGGTAGAGGTTTATAAGATATTTATTAATAACTTGGGTGCTACAGTGGCACATCCAAACAAGCCACATGAACTCAGTACTGGTGCACAACACAAAATTCATTCTGCTCATGGGAGGAAACTCTTAAGAGGGAACACTTCCCCCAGCCTCTCCACTGCCCCTCCCCCCCGGGAGTTAATGTGACACAAATTGGGTTAATGCAATTGTAGGATAGTTGCATGAGGGGGGTTCGGTGGGGGCCAAACTCATCCCTATTGGTAGGAGGATGGTAGGAAAAGTTCTAAGAGGGGGTTACATGACACCTTTTAGTTCTGGTCATGTCCCCATCTTGACCCCGAGAGTTTTACCTCCATAAGCGTGGCTAATGGGGGTCAGAGGTGTGGTTAACGGGTCAGGGGGTGTGACTAATGGGGGTCAGGGGGTGTGACTAATGGGGGTCAAGGATGTGGTTAACAGGGTTCAGGGGGTGTGGCTAATATATCCCTAATTTTAGTTCAGAAAATATGGTCACCATACATATAGGGCAAAGTGAAAAAGTTTGTAGGAAAGGAGAAGCATGGTCCTGCAGAGGTAAGGCATAGGCTTGGAAGTCAGGAGATCTGGGTTTTCTCCTTCTAGGTGCTGACACACCTTGGAGATTCACTTCCGTCTGAGCCATGCTCTCCACATCTGGAGCTAGAAGGTGCTGTGGGGAAAAAGTGAACTATTATTGTAATGCCTACAGGGGGAACCAAACCTGGGGTATCTGGAGCTTGCATGAACCTCTAGTCTACAGCTTGAGCTAAAAGCCAGTGGGCTCTCAACTAAGGCTGTAGAGCAGGCTCGTTCTAAGTGCCATTAGATGAGACAGTGAACCATACCCAGTAGGTGTGTGGGTTACACTATTATTTCCCTTTCTTGCAGTCCTGTCAGCTGTTCATCAATGTCCCTGTGGAGGCTCCATCTATTGATTACCATGTGTCACTTGCCCAGACAGCATTACAAGTCTGTCTGACTCATGCTGAGCTACAGAATGAAATCTACTGCCAACTAGTTAAACAAACTAGCTGCCGGCAGCCACGAAACCACTCAGTCATTCAGGTGAGCCCCTCTCAGCCACTTCCTTGCCCACCCCACCCCCATCTGTGCCACGGCAAGCTGCTCTGTCCAGGCCAGGGTCACCATGGGCGGGGGCTGCACTGGCCAGGCTGGAGCACCCCTCTGCCTGGCACCTGGCTTAATTCATGTCCTTCCAGGCTCTGCTCTGGTTACACAACAGGAACAGGAAGGTGAGTGCTTCCAATTCAGAAGTCCACACTCTGTTGCCATTGGCTCTCCAGGCCTCTTGCGAACTTACTTCCTGCTTCCCTAGCATTCCTCTCTAGGACCCATTATTTATGGTTTTAACCGGGGTGGGGAACCTTTTTTGGGTTGGGGGCTGCTGACCCAGAGAAGAATCAGCTGGAGGCCACACACAAGTGAGAAGCAAAAAAGAAAAAAAACACCTCACTGACTGGCCCGACTGAGAAGCAGAAGGACACTCCCCACATTACCCTCGCACAACAGAGCCTAGAGAGGGCCAAGCTAGTAGATATTCTGGCCCTCCAGGCTGTGGGGTGGGGACAAAAATGAGGGGTTCAGTGTGTGGGAGGAGGCTGCCAGGAATCAGGCTTGGGGTGTCAGGTCTGGACAGGAGGGAGGAGGCAGGCATGGGTTGGGAATTGGTGGGTCTGGGAAGGTGGTAGGATGCAGGAGCAGAGTGCAGGTGCGGGGTCTGGGTGGGAGGACATGCAGGAGTGGCGTGGAAGGTCTGGGTGGGAGGTAGAGTGCAAGAGTGGAGGGCGGTGCAGGAGCTTCCTCCCCCAACCGAGTGGAGCCTGTGGGTCAGATCCAGCCCCGGCTTGCCTGACACTAGCCAACAAGGCTCTGGGGTCCCTGCCATCTGCAGCAGGGAGCCAGCACCTTCCAGCCCCTAGGGATGGAATGGGGAGGGGGCGAGGTTCTGGAGCACTAGCACTGGCTCTGCAATACTGGGGGAGGGAAGCCCTGATCCTCAGGGGCCAGATCCAGGCAAGCCGTGGGCCGGATTTGGCCCCTGGGCTATAAGTTTCCCATCCCTGGTTTTAACCTTTACAGGCAAGATAATTAAGGTTAGGTCTCAAGAGTTAACTACTGTGAAAAGACTTTAGTTAACTGGCTGGAATGTTTAGAAAAGAATATTAACCCCCCACATTCATCAGACACAGGCCAAAATCACTAGTCACTCTTCAAAATCTTGGCCCGAGCAAAAGCAGAGCAAGTATGACTGCACCTTATTTGCTGGTGGACCATTTCTCTTTACAGTGCTGGCAGCTCCTGGCTTTGTGTGCTCCTCTCTTTCTGCCTCAACACCACTTCCTCTGGTATATTAAACAACACCTACAGCGGCATGCAGACCCCAGGTAAATAACATCCCACCTTCATCTTTCAATGGCTTTGTTGCATCCAAATCCCTTCTACAAAATTGTATTAAGGCTAGTTTCTGACTAACCCGTGCAAAGTTGAGTTGGGGAAGGAGATGGCATAAGAAGCCTTCCCCAAGGTCCCCAGCTGTTCTTGTTCAGAAACCATCTTTCAGACACTTTTGACCCACTTTTCCATGGAAGTGTTTTCTAGTCCAGAAGATGGTGGGTATAATGCTTCTGAAAGGTCAACAGGGCTTCTGAGAGGATAGGGAAATAGGGTTAAAAAGTTAAGGGTCCCTGGGTTAATAAACCCAAACTGAATTCCAAAGCGATGAGAAAAATTATTTAAAACCAAACAGAACCTCCCACCAGATTCTCTTTACCCCGGGGGTCTCAAATTTTCAGCCAAAGAGCCACTCCCAGCCAAAGCAGATGCACAATTTACAGGGGTGGGGAGAGCTGTCTGTTCCCATTCCATAATCCCCACCCCTTCCTGCCACTGCCCCTTTCTCTCCCCCTCCCCATCCCATGGCATCCCATCCCCTGAGGCCATGGCTTTGGGGATCACCGGGGGGACCTGGTGCATGGCGGCAGCAGTGGTTGCCCCCACCTCCCCACTCCACCCCCGCACTCCCAGCAAGGGCAGGAGCTGTGGGAAAGTGGAGCATACCTAGCAGGTGCACTCACTCCACTTCCCATGGCTGCTGGCACCGCAAGGAGTGGGTGGGGGGGGTGCTTGACCATTGCTGCCACCCTGCAACAACCCCTCCCTCCACCTCTGCCCCCCAGTGATCCCCAAAGCACGGCCTCAGCTGACGAGGTGCCATGGAAGAGAGAGCACAGAGCGGGGTGGGGCTGGAAAGGGTGAAGCAGTGACAGGAAGAGGTGGGGCTTGGGGAATGGGAACAGAGCCCTCCTTTCCCCCAGATTGCACAAGTGCTCTGACTGGGGATGGCCCGTAGGCTGGGAGTATGAGACCCCTGCTCTATCCTTTTATCAGCAATTGTGTTTCATAGTTGCAGGTTATGTTGCATAACACTCACATTTCTCCTGCACTCCACCCTATAAACACACCAAAAAGAAAGCAACCAATGAAAACTTCTTTAACAGCCATAAGCCATTCTAGGGTGTACTTTGTCTGTTGATGGATTTCTTGGGTAGCTTAAGAAGTTTGGACTTCAATCTTGAATCTTCTTTTGGGGCATGTATCAGTGACTAGATAATGCACACCCTGTTGCAGTTTATTGCTTTATGAAAACTGAATGTGAGTAAACAGCTTGGAATTTCAAACCCAGTCTTGGACAGACATTCATCAAAAATTCATATCAAAACTCTCCTGGGATTTGAAAGAGTCTGTCTGTCTATAATCTTTCTAGCCCATATTTTTCATTATCGTTGCTGCTGCCTCTGCACTTGCTGATTCCAACCAGAATTGGAAATACCAAAACTGGCATTCACATGGTATTATTGCTGGCTCAGTTGAAAGGAGAAAATTCTGTAAATCTTCCGAGAGAACCTAGCAACCATCCTTGTTTTGCAGGCCGAAGAGGTTTGGATCTCAGTCCTAATCTGTGTGTATTTATCTGCATAAAATCTAATATCCAAGGGTAAGTCTACACTACCACCCTAGTTCGAACTAGGGTGGTTAATGTAGTCATTCAAAGTTGCAAATGAAGCCCGGGATATTTAAATCCCGGGCTTCATTTGCAACTTCGAATGACTACATTAACCACCCTAGTTCGAACTAGGGTGGTTAATGTAGTCATTCAAAGTTGCAAATGAAGCCCGGGATATTTAAATCCCGGGCTTCATTTGCAACTTCGAATGACTACATTAACCACCCTAGTTCGAACTAGGGTGGTTAATGTAGTCATTCAAAGTTGCAAATGAAGCCCGGGATATTTAAATCCCGGGCTTCATTTGCAACTTCGAATGACTACATTAACCACCCTAGTTCGAACTAGGGTGGTTAATGTAGTCATTCAAAGTTGCAAATGAAGCCCGGGATATTTAAATCCCGGGCTTCATTTGCAACTTCGAATGACTACATTAACCACCCTAGTTCGAACTAGGGTGGTAGTGTAGACATACCCCAACACTATAGAGGTGAATTAGGACACTTACAAATCTACACATTTTCACTTGAGTAACATGCCAGGGAGAGTCACTGAAGAGAGGAATTGATAACAGGCACAGTAAGTGTACCTAAAGCACGTATTTGTGTGGTCACTCTCTCACTGTCGGATTAGGAGTGAAATAGGCAAGTATGCTATCTACTGTCAGAGGTCTGTGGAGCGCACGTTGCACACTGGAGAGCGGGAAGCCAAGCCTTCAAGAATGGAGATCGTATCCATTTTGCTGCGGAATCCCTTCCACCATTCACTCCCCTTCAGCATTCCAGTGCACTTCATGAATGGAACCTACCAGGTAAGACATGGGCACCATCCTCACTGCACAGACACTGGCACCCTCCCACTTTCTTTTCCCCCCATCCGGCCCCCAGCTGGGGGTTGGGAAAAAGTCCTGCCTCTCAGAGTTGCAGGCAGTGGCAGCTAAAGCCCAGCTGGGAGTCAGGAGGATGCCACAAACAAACTTCCCATCCTCGCTTCTCTGAGATGGTCACCCACCCCGTATTTCCCCCCCCCGCCCCCATACAGTCTGCTTTCCCCGCCCCCGCCCAGCCTAGGGGTTGGGGGGCATGCTGTGTTTCTCCCAGGGTATGTCTACACTATAGAGTTTTGTAGGAAAAACAGCCATTTTTCTGACAAAACCCGAGTAACATCAACACTGCAATCACGATCTTTTGAAAGTAAATCAAAAGAATAGAGGGGGTTTTCCTGGTGTTAGTAAAACTCTTTCTACGAGGAAGAAGCCTTTTTCTGAAAGAGCTCTTTCGGAAAAAGGCCTGTGTGGACGGGGAAGAGGGAGTTATTTCGAAAGAAGAGGAAAGAGGAAAAAGCACAGGTGCCCTGCTGGCCATCCCGTCCATAGCAATCACAGCTTACATGCGAGAGAGCATCCATTTAGTGTGGACTCTATCTGTCGCTTTTTCGATGAACTTTTGCAGTGTGGACGCTCTCTTTTGAAAGAAGTTTTTTCAGAAGATCTCTTCCGAAAAAACCTTCTGAAAGAAGCCTGCAAGTCTAGACATAGCCCCAGGCAGCTGCAGCCAAACCCAGCTGCTATGATCAGAGTAGTCTCTCCTCTCCCAACTGCCACAGCCCACCTGGACATCCCAAACTTCCCTACCCTCTGACCCCGCCTCCCCATACCCACCCACTCCTCTCCACACACCCACACACTCTCTCTCTCCCTCCCCCCCTTATGTCCCCTACCTACTGTCTGGGAGAGAGACACTCCTCTGGCCCCAGCAGGGAATAGCTACAACTGGGAGAGAAGTGCGATTCCCCCAGGTGGACAGTCCCGTGCATGGCAGTCCTGAGACCAGGTATGGGACTTATTAACCAGCTGGTCGACTGTGCTGCCACACAGCTTAGCAGGATCCATAGTGCCAGGTACCTCTCAGGTAATTGAAGCCTGCACTGGGGTGTCTCTCTACATTTTTTAGCCACTTGTGACTAGTTCTGTCCCCCAAGATAAGCTTATTTAATTATTTTGATCTCCGGTTCTGTTTCAGGTTGTGGGTTTTGATGGCTCCTCAACAGTGGATGAGTTCCTCCAGCGGCTGAACCAGGAGACGGGAATGAGGAAACTATCTCACACTGGGTTTTCCCTCTTCACAGATGATCCTTCTGGCAAGGATCTGGAGCACTGCCTGCAGGGCACTGTGAAGGTAATTCTCTCCCTACACACCTAGTCAAGACAAGGCAAGAGTTAAAGCCATTAAGGAACCCAGACTTTCACAGAAGTGGGACTTGCCTTGTCTTGACTAGAGTGTTAGATGGTATTAAAGTGACTGGATTCATACACACTCACACCCCGTCTCTTGACAAAAGTACCAGCTATTGCCTATTATGTTACTGTATCCTAACTTTCCACTGACAACAGTATAGCCAGTGTAGGGAGAGCAGAAGCATTTAAGAGAACGTGAGAAGGTTCAGTGCAAGACTTTATATCTGGTTTGGGTATCATCCAAGAAGTTGAGTTATTTGATAAGTTATCCTAAGAAGCCTCTTTTTTCATTGACCTTTATTGGTATGTTAAGGAGGAAATAGATCTTTACTGGACTGTCTGCAAAAGGAGTGGAGTATTTTGGAGAAGGTAATTGGAGCTGAATTGTTTAATATTTGAGAGACAAGGTGGGTGAGGGACCAACTTCTGTTGGTGACAGGGACAAGCTTTCAAGCTACACAGGCCCCTTCTTCATGTCTGGGAAATGTGGCCAGAGCCATGGTCAGGACAGCATTGCTAAATACAAGGTGGAACAGATTGCTTAGCACAAGTAGTTAACACACATTTCAAAGTCCAGTTCAAGGAGAAGTGGCTCATAAACACCTCTTCAGTCGTAGGGGGGAAAAGAAAGGGAGGGGAGGCAGCTTGTGGGGAGAGAAGTTAGTGGGTTGTAAATTGTGATTAAACCATAAATCCAATGTCTCTAACTAATCCGTGATTCTTACTGTTTAGCAAAATTATGAATTTAAACTCCTGGGATTATTTTTTTAAGGTGTTGTGCTGATTTCCTCTAAGAATGAGGACTGGGAGATCAGATATAGAGTGATCTCTTTGTGAAAAATGTTTACCCACAGGTGATATGGTATTTTTGTCTTTTATCGGTTTCCCATGTAAGTTTATTCAAAAGTGTAGTGATTGTCTAGTTTCACCCACATAGTTGTTTTTAGAGGCATTTAGTGCACTGGGTAAGGTGCACATGTTGTGATTGGCATGTGTAGGACCTATGGATCCTGAAGGTTGTGTTGTGGGGAGTGTTGATCTTTGTAGTAGCATAGGTATGTCAGCAGGTTCTGCATCTGTTGTTCTGATGGTATTCATATCCAGGATTATTATATAGATAGAAGCCATTCATGGAGTTTGCACTGGACTGGAATTCACATCCATACTTCCCCCTAGGCTTGGATCTTGAGTTTCCAGTTGGACCAATCTCTAGTTATTATGTGTTGTCTAGCAGTAAAAAAGTATGGTGGGATTGTATGTCATTTCTTGGCTGACTGCATTCTTGATCCACTTTCTCCTTTCCATATCCAAATCCCACTGTTTATAGTTTGCTTACTTTTCATTCAAGCTTTGAGTCAGCTTGAGTGTCTCTGCTATCTTTACAGATCTGTGATGTTATTTCAAAATGGGAACAAGCCTTTAAAGAACTGCATCCTGGAAAATATGAAGGTAGCACAAGAATAGTGAAGCTAACTTATAAAAGCAGGTACTGTGCATAATTTGAGGGAGACACAACTTGGGTGTGATAATATCTTATATTGGACCAACTTGTGTTGACAGAGACAAGTTTTCAAGCTACAAGGAACTCTTGATGTCTGGATAGTTGAGGGAGGCATTATTAAATATTTATCAAGTGCAGAGATCTGCCTACAGGGCCTATAACTTTTAACAGTATTGTTAGAACTGGCAGAACTGTCTTAGGGCTTGTCTACACATGAAAACTAACCCAGAATAAGGTTGGGTGTTAAAGTTATGTCTTTACTTTCAAGATTCTTCCCAACATATTCCCACTCTATCATTTCTCACTCAGTCCTGAAAAGTCAGTTCTCAGGTCTAGTTGGCTCATGATGCCATCCTTCATCACCATAAAGTTTAAAAAAAAGCATCCTTGTGTTGCCCCTAATATCTGAGAGGAGCTCCCCATAGATATGCAAAACTAACTCATTATCCACATTCAAATCCATCTTTGAATTTGGAGGTCTACAAACAAATTGACAGTACTCAGGGAACTCATATCCTGAACAATATAGTTTCATTATTTCCTTGTATTTCCCGGTCAGTTTGTCCCCATCATTTGTCTTAAGCTTTGTCTACACTTACACTTTCGTTGGCAAACATTTTATGGATCAGGGTGTGAAAAATACATTCCTGACAACATTTCACTTCCAAAATGTGGATGTGGACAGTTCTTTATTGGCAAGAGATGCTCTACTGCAGACATAGTGACCGTTACTCATTAGGGATGGTTTAATAATAATTCTGGATGGAGACCTCTCTCTAATCAGCATAGAGCAGGGATGGGCAAAAGGGCCTCTGCGGGCTGGATGCGACTCGCCAAGTGAGTCGATCTGGCTCGCGGAAGCCCTGCTGCTCTCCCCACCCCCAGGCCAATCAGGACCTGGGGGCGGGGGAAAGCGCACAAAGTCTCCTCCCACCCTGCCCCCATCCTACAGGGAGTGCGTGGCTCTTAGAAGTGCCGTGTGCTCCTGGTACAATGGGAGAAGACTTTGCACACTGCCCCCCGTCCCCAGGTCAATCAGGGCTTGGGGAAGGGGGGCAGCGCATGAAGTCATCCTGCGAGCGGCATGGCTCTTCTAAGCACTGTGCACTTCTTGCAGGAGGGAGGCAGGGTGGGAGGAGATTTCATGCTCCCCCCACCCTCAGGACAATCAGGGCTTGGCGGCCTGAGAGGGGCTCAGCACTTAGTCAACCAACCGCTGCTGCAAAGAGTGCCACTGGTGGTTGACTCTAAGCACGGCACTCCCTTGCAGGGTGGGAGCAGGGAGTTAGAGACATCACATGCTCCCCCTTCCCAGGCCCTGATTGATCTGGGGGCAGCACAGCTGGAAGTTCTTTCTGGGGGTAGGGCAAAGACATTGCGCGCTCCCCAACCCCAGATCAATAAGGGTCTGTGGGTGGGGAAGCATGGACGTGTCCTAGTCCCGCCCCTTTAGGGGCAGCCCGGAGCCACTTCAGACATTTCTGAAGTCGCCCCCAGTCAAAAATTATTGCCCACTCCAGCATACAGCATCTACTCAGACCTTAAAGCAGCACAGATGCAGAGGTGTAGCTTGTGCTGCTGTAAGATGCATCGTGTAGACAAAGCCTGATACTTAAATTGTTTGTTTTTTGGGGAAGAGACTGTATGTTCTGTGTTTGCACAGCACCTAGCATAATAGAGTTCTCATTCATTACTGGGGCTCGTATCTTCTATAATATAAATAAG